TGAAAGTTAAACTTGTTTACCAAAGTACGTAAAAAAATAATAATATTATTTTAACTATAAAAATAATATTTAATTTAATACATAGTGATTGATATATTGTCTATTGAAATTATATGATTATATATATATATATATATATATATATATATATATATATATATATATATATATATATATATATATATATATATATATATATATATATATATATATATATATATATATATATATATATATATATATGGACGGAGCCAAGGTGCCCCCCTCACCCCACCCCCACCCCATATATAATTTTTGTATGTATATATGTATATATAGTATAGGTTTTAGTATTAGTATAAGAAAACTAGTAAATATTAACAAGTAAGGAGTTAGATTAGTTGGTAAGGCATGTGGTTGGTAATGGGAAAGGTCTTGCGTTTAAATCCTTGCATTAATATAGTTTCACATATTTTTGAGTTCTTCCCCTATGGCTTCAATACAGTCACTTTTTTTTAATATTTAATATGTGTAATTTATAATGTGTTTTCTATTGAAATTATTTTATCAAATTAATAATGTGTTTTCTATTCAAATTATGTTATCAAATTAATTATGGTTCATATTTTGTTATGAACATTTTTATAATGTTTTGATGTGTTTTATTTTTCTCACATATTGAATAATACTAGTTTTTTACGCGCATTGCGCGATTGGGATAATGCCCAATGCTTTTTTTAAATAAGTACTTTAAAGTATATTAAGGCAAGATTATATTGAAATTGTTCATGCATAGATAATTGAAGGTTGAATTTGCGTATTTAAATAGGTAATTCTTCTCCCAAAGGTTGAGTCCCCAACCCCAAGGCCCCCCACACTCCGACCCGACAGAGCATTGTGGGAAGTTGTAAGTCACGGTGACTCAATGGTTCAGCAGACAGGGCCAAATGCTGATACGCACAAGGAATCTGCCAACTTTGAACATAATTCCCGCATTGCCGCCGCCGAGGTTCAAACCTTGGTCTCTTCTCCCAAATACTACCCACTAAACCATTGAGCTAAGCCCGTGCGGGTTAAATAGGTAATTCTAAGTTTACAAATGCAAGATAATATAGTCAATATTGATTATAATTGTCAATAAAATAATTGTATAGGTATGGTTGAAATCAAATACGGGACATGCATAAGGGAGAACAAATAAAAATTATGGCATAAAATATTAAATATATACTAATATTGTTTGAGGAGATTCCGACATTAGGATTTGTGGTTAAGTTCTATTAAGACTTTTTTATTAGAATTAGATTAATGGTGTAGTTATAATTCTATATTAGACTTTAATATTAGAATTAGACTAACGGTGAATTAACGGAAAAGTTAAATGGATAATCATATAATTAAGGATAAATTAGAAAATCTTAAAAGAAAAAATTAAAACCTGAACAATATGAACAATTCATTTGATTTAATAATTTGGCTACATAATTTATTGACTGGAGTGTGTCTTTAAGGAGCATACACAGGGAGCAAAACGAAAGTGCTGATGCCTTGGCAAATATGGCTGTGAATCTCAATGGAAACTGGAAGGATCTTGGTTGGTGCCCCCCTGGCATTGAGGAAATTATTGGCAAAGATCGCCTTCGTGCGATGTGGGCTAGCAGCGATGCTAACTAGCTCCTTTCTCGGGTACCCCCCTCCCCTCTGATGTAAAAAAAATAAAATAAATTGTAATATAAAGAATTTTTATATTGAAGAAAAATAAAGACAATATAACTAATAAAATTATTTTTTTTGATTTAATTTATTGATAATGAATAATTTTTTTTTTGAATAAAGACATTGTGGACACATAATTCTAAATTAAAGAAATGCATATGTATTATTTTTTGTTGTAACTACTAAATTATTATTTATATATAATTTAAGAGTAAAAGACATTTTTAGTCCTAAATTTATAGTGGCTTGGACAATTTTAGTCCTTTATAAAAAAATTTGCCATTTTATGGACAGAGTTATTGTGGCGAGGACATTTTTGGTCCTCCGTCTATATTTCTGTTAGATAACCGTCTGAGAGAGGGGTAATTACGTCAATTTAGGCTATATCCTTCTATCTATTATATCTATGTGTGTTTTGTTTTCTTCTCGGTCATAATTCGAAGGAGTCTGAGAGTCCAAGTTGCAGTTGTACGAAGAAATTGCCGGAGAATCAAAGCCGCCAAACAGGTTACTAATCAAATAGATAGAAGGAGAATCGAAGCTGCCAAACACACATAGATATAATAGATAGAAGGAGATTGCCTAAATTGACGTAATTGCCCCTCTCTCATACGATTATCTAACAGAAAGATAGACGGAGGACAAAAAATATCCTCGCCACAATAACTCTGTCCATAAAATGGCAAATTTTTTTATAAAGGACTAAAATTGTCCAAGCCACTATAAGTCTAGGACCAAAAATGTCTTTTACTCATAATTTAATAAGAGTAAAATAGAGTACTAATTATGCCAAATTTGATTGGGATGAGGTTCGAACCTAAGACCTTTTTTTATTAAAATCAATGAGTAAGTTAACGGTGAACTAACGGTAATTCTTAAAATTTTAACGGAATTAGTAACGGTGTGTGGGTATTTTAGGAAATTTTAGTGTAAAATTTAAATCTGATCAATCTTTTAATCAATCTGAGCCATTCATTTGATTAAAATATGTGACCGCCATTTTTTCTACCCATTATAGGCCTAACTCTCTTGGGCTCTTATTAGTATAGTAGATAGTAGATTTACAACTATATTTCTTAAGTAATGGTTATAAAAAAATTTCTTAGGTAATTTATTTATTTTTTTAAAATCATCTCTTTTGTATTTAATGTTTCGCTTTTACTGGAAAAAATTTCTTAATCTGTCCTACTTCTTCGCACCACACCCCCCCCCCCCCCCCCGGTCGAATTTCTGGCTCCGTCCCTATATATATATATATATATATATATATATATATATATATATATATATATATATGAACATAAAAAGATAAAAATAAAAAGTATATGAGTATTTATGAAACTTACGAAACTTATTGTAAAACTTGATAGGGATAGATAGAAGGAAAAAAATTGTAGAAAAAGTTTAAACTTTTCAGGTTTGATGGTGGATTTTAACTATTTATATTTGTAAGAAAAAGATGTATAGAAATTCTAATTTGATAGGCTTAAAAAATGGAAATAAACAAAAATGAAATAAATAAATGAGTTTTTCCCAAAATGATCTATCGACTATTCCCAAAATGGTCCCTCGACTATTTTTCAGAGTATATTAGGCATATAATATGTAAATGGACGAAAATGCCATTCATTTTTACACTCGATAGACAGAATTTCTAACAGAAGACCAATTTGGGGGAGTTTTTAAAAGTCAAGGGACCACATTGGGTGCAATTAGAAGTCGAAATGCAAAATTGAGAATTAGCGATAGTCGAGGGATCATTTTGGGAAAAATCTCTCTCTCTCTCTCTCTCTCTCTCTCTCTATATATATATATATATATATATATATATATATATATATATATATATATATATATATTTTATTTATTTATTTATTTATATTAATACTTAATTTGTAAAAATAAAATTTAGAAGAATACCTTTGGCTTGATGAAGAATTCCAATATGATGCAAATGCAAGACAGAGAAAAAGAGAAATATAAGCATAAAAGTTTAGGTTTAATAAAGGGTAAAAAAGAAAATTAATAAAAAGCCTATTCCTGAGTGCTCAAGAATATGTTAATACTAGGGGGAGCTAGTAATAGCTATTCCCATCGTTATGTTGTGGAATTGCGTCCACCTTGCAAGGTGGACACGGTTCTATGTTCATAATTACTGAACTATATGTTCATAATTATAAAGCTATATATTCTTAATTTTTGAACTTCATATTCATAATTATTGAACTCTATATTCACAATTACATAAGTCTATATTCATATTTACTGAACTATATGTGCATAATTATAAAGTTATATATTCATAATTTTTGAACTTCATATTCACAATTATTGAATCTTTATATTCATAATTACAGAACTATATGTTCATAATTATGTTCACAACTCTATGTTCATAATAATGAACAGTTTTAGAACTGTGTCTACATTGCAAGGTGAACATGGTTCCACAGCATAATTTGCCCCTGAAGAGCAATCGTTATACCTTGCACCACGGCGTGCGCAGCACTGTGCGCCCCGTGCTTCCCAAAACGACGTCGTTTTGGGAGGCACGGAAGGAAGTTGACGCGATTATGTATATTTGTTTATATCATTATGTGTATTTGTTTATACAATTATGTGTATTTTTTATACAGTTATGTGTGTTTATTTATACAATTATGTGTATTTTTTTATACAATTATGTGTATTTTTTTATACAGTTATGTAAAACGACATCGTTTTGCATTAGGGCGCACAATGCAATGCGCGCCCTGGTGCACGATATAAATTGCCCCTAAAGAGGGAATGGGTCATTCCCAGGAACATTGTTCCTGAGAATACAAATGGTTACCAAACAGAGGAATAAACTCATTACTGAGAATGCTATGTCATACTAGGCCTATTTCGCGAACCAAACGACCCATAAGAGTAAAAGCAGAGTAAGCATGGAAATTAAACTTATCACAAGCTAAGATAAGGAGAAGACACAATGTCATCAAGATGATATGTAACAATATCTTAATAAGAGTTTTTATATCTTTCCATTTTCTTCAACCTTTTCACCATCAATCTCATGCAGTGTCTATCAAAATGTATGAATAGAATTGAAATAGAAAATATTTGTTAGTTCCTTGATGGTAACGGATCAACAAATATTTCTCATGGTTTCATAGGTTGGCCTATTTCCAATATGCATAATAAAATAAAGAAGTACAAGAAGAAAAATAAATACATGCACATTTGGAATACATTTCATGAATTTGAGTAGGAATACATAGGGAAATTAAAGAAAGAAAGAAAGAAAAAAAAAAAAAAAAAAAGACTAACACAACATATAAATCAAGACCTTGAACTACCACAATGTTGTCAAATTCAAGAACCAAGGCAAACACAGTGTATACACACTTTATACAAATGTAAAAGGAAAAGTGAAAAATACATCAGTTTTGGAACTTGAATAGGACAAAACAGAGTTCATATTCACTCCTTATTGAAATAATTAAGGAATAAATTGATGTTTAATCTTGTGTAGTGTTGCGAGAACTTCCCTTATTCCGATCCTTTCTGCTGGAAAGTCTACAGAGCATTTTATAGCCAATTCCATAATAGAGGACAAACACTTTCCTTTTCTATTGAAGTGTTCTTCATCTGGTGTGAGCAAATTTACATCACAAACATTAATTACTCTGTTAGGTAAAGAGTCTTTAACCCAACTCCTTAAGCTCACATTTTCACAAAACATATCACTGTTTGGCTTTCTTCTGGTGAAAGTTTCCATCAACAAGATGCCATAACTGTAAATGTCACATTTTGTAGACACTAATCCTTCGAATCCATACTCTATAATCAATATATATATATATATATATATATATATATATATATAGGAAAACTATTAGATTTTATTTGAAACAAAGTAAAAATTAATTAAATTATGGAATAAAAAAAATAGGAATAAGATAAAAGAGCATTCACCAGGTGCAATGTAGCCCAATGTGGCAAGGGTCCTTGTGTATGCAATGCTATCATCACTGCCCAACAATTTTGCAATTCCGAAATCAGCGACATGGGCAACCATATCCTCATCTAGTAGAATATTACTCGGTTTTAGATCGCAGTGAACCACCGACTTTGTATAACCATGGTGAAGATATTCTATTGCACAAGCCACATCAATCATTATGTTCAATCTTTGAGTGATATCCAAGAAGCGATTTTCAGAATATAACCATTCCTCAAAAGTCCCATTTGGCATGTACTTAAGGACCAACGCTTTAAAATTTGGGTTTGAGCAATAACCTTGCACTTTCACAAGATTTCGATGACGAAGGTTGAACAATATTGTACATTCTGCATTAAAGCTTTGGAAAGTGCCTTCTTCTTGCATTCTAAACACCTTTATCGCCAAGATTGTTCCATCATTAAGAACCCCCTTGTAAACAACTCCAAAACTCCCTGTACCAATCACATTCCTTTCATTGAAACCATTTGTTGCACATGAAAGTTCACTGTATGATATTCTCTCCACTTCTTTCACAATTGGCACCAAATCTTCTTTCTTTGTAACCTTTTTTCGTCTCCAAAAAGTAATCAGCACAATTCCCACCATTATAGCAACCATAATTCCTAAAGCCATAAAAACATATTGAAGTGTTCTTTTTGATTTTGACCTTCGAACTACACTTTTATGGCACGGAAGAACACCAAACCTTGGATCTCCACATAATGCTTCATTAAACAAGAATGATAGACTTGTGAAGTTTCTAAAAGGACCATTTGATGGGATTTCACCGCTTAATCTATTGCAAGAGACATTCAAATTGTGAAGATATCGAATTTCTTGCATAGAAGCAGGAATTGAACCACTAAGATTGTTATGAGAAAAGTCTAGTGATTCCAAACTTAACATCCCACCTATTGACTTTGGTATTTGTCCATTTAGATTGTTCTGTGCTAAAGAAAGGAGTATCAAATTCTGCAAGCTTCCTATTGTGCTTGGAATGCTGCCTGACAATTGATTCTTGGATAACCATAGGTTGAATATAACCTTTAGATTTCCAATATCAGGAGACAAAACACCACTCAAGGAATTAGAAGACAAGTTGAGCTCTAAAAGGTCTTTCATAACCCATAGATTTGAAGGCAATCTGCCTGTTATCCTATTTGAACCTAGGAATATATACCTTAAAAATGTAAGATTCCCTAAGCACTCAGGAATAGAACCTGAAATTTGATTTTCGGTTAAATCGATTAGCCCCAATTTCTGCAACTTGCAAAGACTGGAAGGAAGCAGTCCTCTTAATTTGTTCCTAAATAAGAGCAATCGTTCAAGATGTTGTAATCCTCTCAAGGTGTGTGGAACAAATCCTGTCAAGTTATTCATAGACATTTCCAGAGTTTCTAAACCACTTAGATTGCCAATTTCTTTTGGGATTGTGCCCCTTAACCCAGCACTGGATATCACCAATTTTTCTAGTGAGGAAGAAAAATTTACAATGGATTTGGGAAGAATTCCATTAAAAAAATTTTTACTCACGTCCAAAACAATCAAGTTTCTACAATTTGTCAAAGAAGTTATGAAGCTTAATTCAGAAGATGAGGACTCACTTGATAGCTTATTTGCAAAAACTTCAAATATGTGGAGGAACTTAAGGTTTCCTAAAGAGTTTGGAATGGACCCACTCAAGTAGTTATTGGCAATAGATATAATTAAGAGTTTAGAACAATTTGCAATGCTTTGGGGTATTGCTCCACTTAGTTTATTATTGGATAGATAAAGTCCTTCAAGATTGGGTAATCCATACCCTATAGTGTAAGGAAGAGTCCCAAAAACGTCATTTGCGGCAAGACAAATAATTCTAAGTGTTGTAATGTTGAATATGCCTTTAGGTATCAAACCACTTAGTTTGTTGTCCCGCAAATTTATAACCTCCAATGCATTAAGCTTGCTGATTTCTTGGGGGACTTTATCTGCCAAAAACGGAGAAGAGTATGTTTAATGCAAATAATTTTGTTACCATGTACAATTTGAATTTCTTTTCATAAATATTAAGAACTTTGCAAATAATAAATTCTCAAACCTGTGAAATAATTTTCGTAAAGATATATTTCCTGAAGAGAAGTTAAATTTTCTATCTCCCTTGGAATGGATCCAACTAATCTGTTAGCATGTAATGCCAGAACTTGAAGTGAAGTCATATTGAAAATAGTCTTTGGTAGACATCCTGTAATTTGGTTTTTTTCTATAGACAAAACCTCCAAATTCTGAAGATTGCCAAATTCTTCTGGAATTTCACCTGTGAAACAATAATAATATAGAATATGAATCAAAGAGTAGAAAATAAACTTTATATATATATATATATATATATATATATATATATATATATATATATATATATATATATATATATATAGGCTTAGGTTCTGGTGAGATGAATGCCATATAAGTGAAACCTGCGGTGAAATCTTAGCCATAGATCAACTCTTCCTTTAAATTTTTTTTTTTCACATACACGATCTATAACAATGTGCACCCGAAGGCAAAAATATGCAACAACTATTGAAAAGATTAAATTTAATACAATAATCTTCATCACAATTCATAAAAGATCACAACATTCAACTAAAAATAGTAATTAGTGATTCGTTCAAGATCAAATTCTCTTTAAAAGATATATATAACATCTATGATCTTAAAGCTTTGGGGCACAACAATGTGAACTGTAAGGCACAACAATATGCTTTAGAAGAAGGGACAATGTGCGGGCACTGAAACTCTAGAAAGGCAAAAATGTGCATGGTAATGTAAAAAATATGAAATAATTATTGAAAAGACTAAATTTAATGCATGATCTTCAACACCAATCATAAACGATGACGATATTCAACTAAAACTAGTAATTAGTGATTCATCCAAGATCAAATGTTCTTTAAATAAATAAATAAATAAATAAATAAATAAATAAATAAATATATATATATATATATATATATATATATATATATATATATATATATATATATATATATATATATAAAAGTTCAAATGCGACTGCGTCTTCTCGTACGGTCAGTGTGGCCGCACCAATAGTTATGCAAATATGCACCAACAATGTTAGGGAATGTACAAATTAGGTATGCATCACCAAAAATGCACCATTAGGTATGAATAAAAGTACAATTTGAATTTCATAAAGCACTTTGCAAATAATAAATTCTCAAACCTGTGAAATAATTTTCGTAAAGATGTATTTCATGAAGAGAAGTTAAATTTCCTATCTCCCTTGGTATGGATCCAATTAATCTGTTACCCTGTAATGCCAGAAGTTGAAGTGAAGTCAAATTGAAAATAGCCTTTGGTAGACATCCTGTAATTTGGTTCTTTTCTATAGCCAAAACCTCCAAATTCTGAAGATTGCCAAATTCTTCTAGAATTTCACCTGTGAAACAATATTATAGAATATGAATCACAGAGTATAAATTAACACATCATGTGTATCCATCTAATAATTTTTAATGGTATAGATTAGATTAAGTGTGTGTGAACGCGCATTAAATGTATGCAAACTCACTTAATCGCCTTTGCACACATTTAATGCGCGTTCGCACACACTTAATCTAATCTAGACCATTAAAAAATATTAGATGGATGCACACGATTTGTTCTCACGTTCTCACCTAAGCTGGTGTTCTCATATGATATTAAATATATATATATATATATATATATATATATATATATATATATATATATATATATATATATATATATATGAGCTAATAAAGTTAGGCATATGAATGGTTCATATTATTTTGATTTTAGTATTTTTTTACTTTCTTACTTTTTACCATCTATTACATTATTTTCTTTCCTTAAACACTCTCGCATTCTGTTAGTATAAACTTTAATAACGATATATTCCGTTAACTATTTATTATTTTTAACTTACTTATTGATTTCTATAAGAAAGGTCTTAAGTTTGAACCCCATAACAATTAAAGTTCGCATAATTGTTGAGCATATGCTACGAATATGTTAGAGTATATTAAAAAATTCAATATAAAATTGAACATTCACTTTTGTCAAATAATTAGTCTGCCTAAATATATAGCATTCAATGTTGAGCATCAAAGATTACAAATAATCAGGGGCAGACCTACAATGGGGGCAGTGGGGGCAGCTGCCCCCACTCACCCCACCCCCACCCCATATATAATCTTTGTATGTATATATGTACTAGTTTTTTACGCGCATTGCGCGATTGGGATAATGCCCAATGTTTTTTTTTTTTAAATAAGTACTTTAAAATATATCAAGACAAGATTATATTGGAATTGTTAATGCATAAATAATTGAATGTTAAATTTGCGTATTTAAATAGGCAATTCTAAATTTACAAATGCAAGATAATATAGTCAAGATTGATTATAATTGTCAATAAAATAATTGTATATGTATGGGTGAAACCAAATACGGGAATTGAAGAGCTAACTGCTGATTGCCAAACAAAGACATTGCGAGGTAGTTTTCCATTTAAATTTGTTGTGTGATTTGAATACTCCTTTTGTCAATAAATCTCCCAAGTAGTTAATATGATTGGCTTAATTTTATTTTATTTTTATTTTTTTAAAACAATTATTATTATTATTATTATTATTATTATTATTATTATTATTATTATTATTATTATTATTATTATTATTATTATTATTATTATTAAATATTTGTATACCCTTAGATAATTTTACATGTTAATCTAAGCATTTAATTTTTTCAAATATCTTTTTACCAACCGTTGATATAATTCGCTAATATAATCCGCTAACTACTGATTATCAAACAAGGACATTGCGAGGTAGTTCACACTTCAATTTGTTGTGTGATTTGAATATTCTCTTTGTCAACAAATACCTCAAGTAGTTAATATGATTGGCTTTATTAATTATATATATATTTTTTAATTTTTTCATGGTGTTAATAAAATACTTGGTAAACAAATATACAACATTACTTTGTATTATAACTTTGATATTTAATTAAAAAATAGTGCACAAAAAAAAATAGACAATATAGTGAATATAATCAATTGATGAATTTGAAATTTGAATGTAAAGAATTTTTACTTGGAGAAATATAAAGACAATATAATTAATAAAATTATGTCTCTTAATTAATTTATTGATAATGAATAATTCATTAATACAATCGCAAGATTGACCTTCAAAAAATTGATAATGAATAATTTTCTTTAGTAAAGACATTGTAGGGACAAAGTAGCGAATATAATCAATTGATGAATTTGAATGTAAAGAATTTTTATATTAGAGAAAAATAAAGATAATATAACTAAAAAAAATTATTTCTCTTATTTAATTTATTGACAATGAATAATTTTTTTTTTTTTTGATTAAAGACATTGTAGACACATAATTCTAAATTAAAGAAATGCATATGCATTATTTTTTGTTGTAGCTACTAAATTATTATTTAACTTAATAAGACTAAAATAGAGTACTAATTATGCCAACTTTGATTGGGATGGGGTTCGAACCTAAGACCTTTCTTATTGAAATCAATGAGTAAGTTAACGGTGAACTAACAAAATTAACGGAAAAGATAATATTTAACGGAAAAGTTAACGGATAATCATATTCATTAAGGATAAATTAGGAAATTTTAAGAAAAAATTAAAATTTAATCAATCTGAGCCATTCATTTGATTAAAAAATTTGACCGCCATTTTTTCTACCCATTATAGGCCTAACTCTCTTGGGCTCTTAATGGTGAGATTTTTTACACACACACACACATATATAACCTTTTTATTATTATTATTATTAATGAGATGTGTGATTTATAATATGTTTTTTATTCGAATTATGTTATCAAATTAATTAAGTTTCATATTTTGTTATGAATATTTTTATAAAATTTTGATGTGTTTTACTTTTCATTCATATCTAACAATATTTATAGCTATACTTCTTTAAGTGTTTCATTTTTTTTTTCTTCAAACTATCTGTTTTATTTTAATGTTTCGCCCCCACTAAGAAAAATTCCTGCAAATAATGAACCTTGAAAATCATTTTCTTGCATTTTGTTTTGTTTTTTTTTTTTTCATTTAATTAATCTTCTTTTGATTATTTAGAGCAAGACTCAATATTTTAATTATGCTTTTGCATTATTAGGAATGATTTATGTGACTATGGTATTAATATTTTTTTTTTGTATTTCTATAATGGTACAATTGTACATTACTTTACAAAATTGTTCTTACATCATTGTCAAACCTGCGCGACCTAACTACAAAGTTGTTGATCAGAAATAAAATTACACCTAGACTCTAAACGGTAGGACTATTGTCCAAAAAATTGAAAATTTTGACATTTACTTACTATAATTGAATAAGTTTACACATCTATTCTCATAATTTTATCGATGCATAAAAACTTCTAAAGTAATTTGTAAGTTAATTTTTACTATATCGTTATAACAATATCTATTGCAATCATATATTCTAAATTATTTATCATCTTCCTCTATTGACAACAATTGTAACAATTGTCATTGACAAATTGCCAAAACAATTTGTCTAAACAACGAATGAAAATAAAAAAATCAATGACTTCATTGTTGTAGATTAAAAGTAAGTACCACACTCTGTTACTCTTATTAAAATAAATAAATTAGTAACTACAACAAAAAAAATACATATACATTTCTTTAATTTAGAATTATATTTATTTACCAAGTATTTTATCAATACCATGTAAAAGACTTCTATTTTTTATTTGGAATACCCAGGGTTTCCACCGTGACTAATCCCCTCGCTGATTTGTAGGCACCTCTTTTGGGTGGGATAGCTGGCTTGAAAATTTAAGGATGCTCCATTCCCAAAGCCAAGGATCAAACCCTTGACCTTTGGTTAAGGATGGATGAGTCCCTTCTACTCAACCACACCCTCCAGGTTCCATTATTTTCTTTTTTTTACACTATCTTGTAATTGAATATCAAATTTATAATACAAAATAATATTATATATTTATTTACCAAGTATTTTATCAATACCATGTACAAGACTTCTGTTGTGTGTACAACTTTGTACTAATTTTTAAACTTGAGAGTTTTATAAAAGTCTATTTAACCTCCCTCTCCTATTATACACATTTAACTTTTCCTAGACCAATAATTATAGAGTTAATACCATCCGAGGTCCTTCGAGTATGTGATTTTGCCACATTTAGTCCTAAACATTCAAATTGACCATATGTGGTCCTTCGACTTTCAAATTTAACCATTTGTGGTCCAAGTCAACCACTCAAAATTTGAAAGTCGAAGGACCACAGATGGTCAATTTGAAAGTTTAGGACTAAACGTGACAAAATCACTATACTCGGAGGACCTCAATCGGTATTAACTCAATAATTATAAATGCGAGCAATACTATATTATTATAAAGTCATTTAAGTGTTAATAACCTTTCAAAAAATTCTCAAAAAAAAAAAAGTAACCTTTCAAAAAAAAAAAAAAAAAGTAAGTGTTAATAAACAAAATAAGCTCATTTCTAAAACATTTATTCAATTTATTCAAAATAAGCATTTTTTTTAATTTTATTTTTCCATGTAAACAAATTAGATGGGTTATTTGTTAGAAACTTGCTAAAAATGCTTGATGAAAAATAATTGAAAGTATAATGTCCTAAATGGACCATATTTTAATTCATTATACTAGATGAACAATCAATGTTAGTACATGGGTCTATTTGACCCTTCTGCCTTTCATTATCCACTTTAACGTAAAAGAGCTAAGAAATTCAATAAGCTAAACTATATTTAGGGGGCAAATATGGTGATAACATTATAGAAAAGACAAAAACAAAATATAGTACCTGTTAAATTGTTTTCACCAAGAGTTATTCTTTGAAGCATATATAACTTCCCAATTTCTCTTGGAATAAATCCATTGAACTTATTCATTTCCAACCCCAACGTCTGAAGTCTTGAACATGCAGATAGATTTGCAGGGAGTGCGCCACTAAGACTATTCAAACCTAAGAAAAGCCCTTCTAGATTTGGAAGGTTGTGACATAGGTTAGTTGGAAGAGTACCAGAAAATCTATTATTTTGGAAGTCAATGATTTCAAGTGTTGAGATGTTGAAGATTGAGCTTGGAATTGAACCATTGAAGTGATTATGATGCATATTTATTGCTTTCAAGTGGTGAAGATTCCCAAGCTCCTGTGGAATTTCACCAATGAAATTATTGTTTCTTAGATGCAACACTCTTAATCGGTTCAAATAAGCCAACTCTTATGGTAGTTTTCCATGGAAGTTGTTGTGACTCATGTTCAACAAGGATAGAAAGGAGAGGTTTCCCAAAGATGCAGGAAGTTGGCCTGATAGACCCATGTTTGAAATGTTGAGGGAAACTACCCTACGATGGTGCACTCCACAGGTGACTCCAATCCAGTGACAAACAGAAACTGAAGTGGACCAATTATGAACCAAAACATTGTTTGGATCGGCTAAGGTGAGTTGGCGTTTCAAAGCAATGAGAGCGGATTGATCAGTGTTAATATTTTTAGCACTCTCATCAATCAAGCTATTTGTGAGAGAAGGGATTATGAAGATGGTAATGAGAATGAAGAAAGAGAAGGGCTTGGCCATGATGAGTGCAGCTAATGAGAATAATAGATTAAGGGCTTACTTGGAGAAATTAATCATACACAAGCTAGTATATATAGCCAAATAAAAATATAGATAATTACTGGCATGGGTAGCTCAATTAGTCACAAGGGTGAAGTTTGGAACAATGATCCGTGATCGAGTGTGGGAGCAACCTCTTAAAGTGAGGAGCTCATTGTGTTCAGTAAGCAAAGGTCTAGCCCTTGTGTTTAGCTGAGTTACTATGATTTACATCTTTCCATATGTTTTGTCTGGTCGGAGTTAGGAATTCCACCTTTTGAGAACAACAAAAATTATTAGATAATTAAGACTAAAAGAAGGAATGGAAAAAGAAAAAGGTAATGAACACAGAGGAGATAAAGTGCAAGCTAAGATGAACCGAGTTCCATCGCATAACTATTGAATTAACGCGTATCCTTTGTAATCTTTTCCCTTTAACATGTTACAGTATTAATCATTGATTTTATTTGTGATCCATTTTTCTGATTTTTTTTTTTTTTTTTTTCAAATCAGGATACTTCCAAAACTTATTTTGTAAAATTACAGTTCGTTTTGCCATGTAAACACTTTGTCACACGTTATGTCATTCATTCTTTTTAAAATGGGAAGAAAAGGATGAATGGTCGGAGCTCAGCGTTTGAATCTCGAAATGAAACAATTACGCCTTTAATTAGTGGTGAGCATCTTTCAGCTTTTCAGCTTTTCATTTAATTATGGAGCAATTCCTCAAATCTTATTTTAACTTTGTCTTAAGCCCTTAAGGGGGGGCGTTTGGTTCAGCTTTTCATTTGTATTGCAGAAGTGATTTGGGCATAACTTTATGATGGAGTTAATTTCATTTTTTGTCTTAAATATATAGATGATAATACATTTTTAGTCCTTTTTTTTTATCAGAGCATCCATATTTGGTCTAAATATTATTATGACAGGATCATTTTTGGTCCCCTATCAACAAAATAATTTTAATGTAATTAAGTATAAAGACATTTCAGTCTTCAATATCAGATTTTTTTTTTTTTTAAAAATAAATATAAAAATATATGGCAAATTATGTTGTGAGCACGTGCCCACCTTGCAAGGTGGGCACGGTTCCATATCCATAATTTCTATACTGTAAATTCATAATTTCTATACTGTAGATCCATAATTTCTATACTGTAGATCCATAATTTCTATTATGTAGATTCATAAAATTTATACTTTAGATTCCCATTGTTGAACTCTCTTTTCACAAATCAGAGAACTATATATTCATAATTTGATAGCTATACAGTTAGAAATTATGAATTTACAGTACAGAAATTATGAATCTACAGTACAGATATTATGAATCTGCAGTATAGAAATTATGAATCTACTGTATAGAAATTATGAATCTCTACGGTTTAGAAATTATGAATCTAAAGTATAAATTTTATTAATCTACAGTATAGAAATTATGGATTTACACTATAGAAATTATGAATCTATAGCATAGAAATTATGGATATGGAACCGTGCCCACCTTGCAAGGTGGGCACGTGCTCACAGCATAACGTTCCAAAATATAGTGGCGTCAACTCATTTTGTATAAACATGATCAAAATACATTTGTATTCAACGACATTTCAATAATTTTTTTGACGGAGGACCAAAAATAGTCATACAACAATAATACTATGACCAAATGTGGATACTCTGATAAAAAAAGAACTAAACGTGAACTGCTACCTATAAGTTTAGGACCAAAATGGAATTAACTCCTTTATGATGTCTTCAAAATGAAAAATTATATGGATTTGTTTCTTTACTATTTGAAAAGAAAAAAAAAACAATGATAAGGAAGGAAAATAGTACTTAGAGCATCCTTTTCAGTTTAACTTTGGTGCAGTTTTTAAGGGTTTTTGTAAGAGTGATTAGGAAAGATAAGATGGGAGGGCGGTTAAAAAAAAAAATCTAACAACAACAGAAGAAAATTTATTTAAAAAAAAAAAACAAAAGGTGGTATTAAAGTCAGAGTGGTCGCCAGCTGGGCGAGAATTGTGCCTAACGCGCATTTGCGCCTTTGTTTTTTTTTTTTTTTTTCCTACCATTTTCCCAATCTTTGGGGGGCATTCTTTTTTTTTTTTTTTAAACATGTGCCTCCCATCAATTACTATGCATGTTACTGTTCTAATAACTGGATATTCACCTCTGATGATAATGCTATTAATAACTTAGCGACCTTTTTTCCAAGTCTTGGTCTTTTCTTTGTCTGTTTCAATAATTTTGAAGTTGACTGTTCAAAAAGGAGAATAGAAAATGCTAATCCTTTCCTTAGCTTGTCAATAAAGAAGAAAACTAAAGAAAATATTATCTCACCAACACATCAGTCCCCTCATTCGCCCACTACACCCAATTTGGTTCGCTATCTCGATCATGATTTTCCTACCCCCAAAGGAAAAGGTACTTCCCTTCTGAAACGGATTTGAACAAAAACTTTTTTTTTTTAAAAATGAAGAAGAAAGAAGTTATTTTTAATGTGCCAAACACCTTGTACTCAGATAGCATGTAGTGACTCTCCCATATGGGAGGTCATGAGATTGAGCCTCAGTGGAGGCGGTGTTAACTCTTTGTGCTTCAACGGGTTGAGAAAGTATAGATGAACACATACTACAATGTAATAGAGTCAGTAGCATTCAAAACAAAAATGTTATTTTTAATGTATTTAACAACACCAGTACTGTGGATCCCTCACTGCCCCTGTTCCGAAAATTGGTAGGGAAAACAACTTGTGTGATTATGTTTCAACTAGCATATAAATTCCCAAATGTTTATACACTACTACAATATCATTCTTTCCTTTTTAATTCCTTATCATGATCTCAACCTTGCACCCTGCAACTGCTGATAAAACAAGATATATTTTGAATTTGTTGATAAATTGATTATACTCCATAACCCCAAGAGGCCAAGACTAGGCTTCTTTTGGCTTGTCGTGGGGTACTTGCATAATTCATAATAACTCCGTTACTCAATTAACGCGTTGTGGATGAATTTGCTTTGTCAGAAGAGCACTTGTGGACAACATTAGTTTCGCATGTTTTGTCCATATAGCTCCTACAACCATGCAACGGATGTAAGGAGTACTGCTGCATTATAAAATAATGCTTCATTCTCCATTTCAAAACACACCAAATTGCTGAAAGCTATATACACTACTGAGTACATTAATTTCTGTGGATCTGTCGAAGATATAACGATACCCTGGTTGTTAAATATCTTTAAGATAGTGTTGTCAAACACGACACAGAACGCTGCCGGTTTCCTGTCCCAAAGCAACACCGCATCGCAAACTACCGTCCAGGTATTTATTCTTGTTGTTACGCACCACAGTTAAAGATATTTAAAATCAGGGAGGCGATGTCTACTGCAACGAAGCCAGCTTCTGATGTCACACCCATCGAAATTCTCACCGGCGGTATGAACTACAAACGATGGGCTGCAAGGATCATCATGCTGCTGGAAGAAAAGGATGTTGACTACGTGATTTATGATGATCCCACCACCTTCATCCTGACTGCTACGACTGCGGCCACGACTGCGACCGCCACTACTGCCACAACCGAGGCAGCTGACAAGTTGGACAAGACAGCTGATCAATCGGACAAGGCAGCTGATCAAGCTCCTGCACCGAGGCATGTACGAAGCACGTCGCAGGTCTGTCCAAAATATGTGAAAGACAACAAAACTGCGCGGGCCTCCATTCTTCAACGGGTAACAAATTCTATTTTTGACATGTTTTCTGGGGAAAAATCTGCAAAAGCTATCTAGGAATAATTGCAAGAAAAATATGGTTCCGATGACACCGGTAGGAGGAAGTACGTCGTGGGACGATGGCTGCATTTTCAGATGACCGAGTCCAAAACCGTGGTGGAACAGGTACATGACTTCGAAAATATGGTTTCTGATATGCGAACTGAAGGTGCTCAAGTCAACGATGCATTCCTGGTCGAAGCACTTGTTGATAAGTTGCCCGGGTCGTGGGTAGACTTCAAAAGTAAAATGAAACACGAGCGACTCAACTACACCCTTCAAGAACTTATCAGTAGCATCAACATTGAAGAGGAAAATCGCATGGTACAAAAATCTGAATCCTTTTCTTTCAATTCAAAGGCTAACATTGTTGAGACTACAGGAAAAGATGATAGGCATAAAAAAGGTGATCAAAATAAAAATAAAAAAAAAAAGGAATGCGAAAAATAACAACAATTGCATCAAAAGTGGAAAAATTCAGAAAAAAGGAAAGGGCGACGAGTGCTATGTTTGTGGGAAACATGGACACCGAGATTATTTGTGTTAGACATATCTGTAATTCGACCAGAATCTATCAATAAGAATAATGCTTCCCCTTCGGCTTATATTACTGTTTCAGTTAATTTGTGGCATGGTAGATTAGGACACGTTGGCTTGAAGTGCTTAAATAGATTAAAAGGCCTAAATATGTTGCCAAACTTGTCTAATGATGCATGCTCCCAATGTGAAACTTGTGCTGAAGCAAAATTTGCTAGGAAGCCCTTTTCTGCTGTAACTCTTAGAACTTCATCTGTACTTGAATTGATTCACTCTGATCTAGCGGATTTTAAAACCACTGAAAGTAAAGGTGGAAAACGGTATTATATAAATTTTATAGATGACTATTCTCGTTTTACAAAACTATACCTCTTGAGAACAAAAGATGAAGCTGAACACAAATTTGTGATTTTTAAAACTGAGGTAGAAAATCAGTTAAACTTGAAAATAAAGAGGCTTCGTTCTGACAGAGGTGGAGAGTATGAATCTTTATCGCTAAAAACCTTATGTGAAACTTCGGGTATAATCCATGAAGTAACTGCACCTTACTCTCCCCAACAAAATGGCATCGCTGAAAGGAAAAATAGAACCCTTAAAGAAATGATTAACGCAATGCTGATCAGTTCTGGGGCACCAGACTCTATGTGGGGGGAAGCTGTTCTAACGGCGAACCACATTTTAAATAGAGTCCCACATAAAGGGTTCGAAAAAACCCCTTATGAGA